GAGTCGTGCCACCGCCGGACGCTGCACGGAGGAGTGCAGCTCACCCTCGGCCTACTTCGCCTCCGCTTCTGGATCCCTCGAGGCCGCTCCGTCGTCAAGCAGCGGCTGCATCGCTGTGTAACATGCACCCGCTGGCGAGCCACGGCACCTCAGCCTCCGATGGGCAATCTTCCGAAGGGACGAGTCACTCCGGCACGCCCATTCCTCCGGACCGGCCTGGACTACGCCGGCCCAATCTCCATCCGCACGACCAAAGGCCGCGGACACCGAGCGCACAAGGCCTTTATCGCCGTATTCGTGTGCCTATGCACCAAGGCGGTGCATCTGGACGTCGTGTCGGATTACACGACGGACGCCTTTCTCGCCGCTTTCCGTCGCTTCATCTCCCGTCGAGGCCTCTGCGAGGAGCTATACTCGGATTGCGGCACCAATTTCGTGGGAGCCGACCGAGTCCTAAGAGAGCTCTTCCGAGCTTCGTCCGCCGACGGCCGTCGCCTTGCTCACGCCGCCGCCGCAGAGGGTGTCAAATGGCACTTTAACCCGCCAGCTGCACCGCACTTCGGAGGACTGTGGGAGGCCGCCGTGAAGTCGACCAAGTTCCATCTCCGTCGGGTCATTGGGGAGACCACGCTCACCTTTGAGGAAATGAGCACCCTCCTCGCTCAGGTCGAAGCCTGCCTGAATTCCAGGCCGCTGCAGGCTTTGTCCGACGATCCGGACGACATATCCGCCCTCACGCCAGGGCACTTCCTGATCGGCGCTCCTCTTCTGGCCGTGCCCGAACCCGCCTTGAACGACGTCGCCGGGAGCTCACTCTCACGGTGGCAACACCTCCAAAAGATGCGCGATCACTTTTGGTCACGGTGGTCGCACGAGTACATCAACGGGATGACATCTCGCTCGAAATGGACCAAGCCCGAGGACGCACCTGCCGTTGGCTCTCTGTGCTTGGTACGCGCCGAAAGCACACCACCGAGTCGATGGCCACTGGCCCGCATCATTCGAGTGCACCCCGGCGACGATGGCATTGTTCGCGTGGCGACAATCCGCACCTCAACGTCAGAGCTCGTGCGACCACTGTGCAAACTCGTGCTCCTCCCCGGGACTGAGGACCAGCCGCCGCCGACGGATGCGTGAGCTCACCGACACTCGCTGTCACTTTATTGTTTTATCGGC